AAAAAAAAAAAAAAAGCCATCAGGAGTTAAAAAGGTTGTTATACAACACACTTTTGATTTTGATTTTTTCCCCCCTATGGTATTGAAAATGGCGGAGTGGGTTCGGACCTTAGTCATTTTTTTCACCCCTGATGAGTCTGTATCCTTCCATGCCCAAGCTAGTTAATGGTCTTTTGGTCATTGACTTGCAGAACGTTTTCTGCTGGAGTTAGTGTTAGGGGCTAGAATACAGGGGGGCGCCAACACTGATCTTGCATACCCCTCAGCAAATGTGAAGTTGCGCCCGTGTTTGACCCTCGCAGACATCCGCTGAACGGAAGCAGAATCTCCCATTTGCACACACATCAACATGTCCGTCTTGACACGCGATGCTTCCCAGTGTGAACTAGGCCTTGGCCCTTGGTCTAGATGAACATTAGGTCAGTGACTCTCGGCGTCTCGGGTTTCTCTCGCCGTTGTTTGTTGAAGTGAGTGGTGTGGAGGGGTCTGGCGCGCAGCCCGCCGCTCGGGCTCCTGGAGGCCTGGCAGACTGGGGTTGTAATGGGCTTACGATGGGTGCCAAAGCCAGCCAGCCACCGTGGAAGCCAATGTGGTGCCCAGATGTACAGCGCATTTGCACAAAAAGCCACACGACGAAGGCTTTAATGAAGACAGAGCCTGCTATTTAAAACTCACTACAGCTTTTTGGAAATAGTTGGTCCAATAAAGTTTAATATGGAATATTATTACCTAATTTCTGACTCTGCAGAATCTGAGGATCATCGCATCGGTTTGGATGTTTGTGACGCGTGCTATGTAGCAAAGTCCATGCAAAGTGTCTGTGGTTTTTGCAGATCTTTTCCAAGGGCTGTTTGCTTTGTCAATCTGGAGTGTGTTTCCCAAAAGCATCTACGGTCTCAACTTCCGTCATTACCAATAGAGTTCAATGGAACGTGTGACCATAGTTAGCTACGCCTGATCAGGCCAATTTAAACATTTAACTAGCATTCAATAAGAAATGCTTTCTAAATTAGAGATCAGAGGTTAAGCTTCAGATAAGTGTCCGCTAAATGCATAAATGTAAATATGTAGCACAAAAGTGCACTAGGCCAATCTCTGCTTGTGCGTACTTGGGAAATCTTACAAAAAATGACCAGAAATA